AGAATATTTTCAGAAGGAAAAAAGGGAAAACCAATCATCAATGCTAGGAGGATATTTTCAGAAGGAAAAAAACAGGAGACTAATCATCAAGGTTAGGAGCATTTTTTTCAAGAAGGGAGACAGAGTAGACGAGCAGGATTATTATTTGTATTATATTTAAAGAGGTTAGTGAAGGGGAACTGCCGGCATGTAAGAGTTCTTACCAGTCTCTTTTTGGCAATTTTGACAAAAAATTAATAAGAATAGTATCTCTAAACAAGCGAGACTCATCAGGTGCAGTTCACTTAAACCATGGGTAGGTTTCGTCCCAAGACTGCACGACCCACCCAATAAGAACTTTTATGGCAACAATGGCTTACAACGTCCGGCATATCGCAAGATATGTCTGAGGCCGAGAAGGACCTTACGTCCACTCTGAAATATAACACACTGAAAGGCTGAAAGTTCACTTCTGTCACAAGCCAAACTTTACCACCTTGTTTTTGTCTCTTATGTATCCTACACTGTTGTGAAGTTGCATCCACAGAAACGCTCATAAAAATTACTTTAAACTAGGTCTCTGGTAGCTTGCTGAATGGTACCACCTTAGATGTTGCCTAACCAGATAAAACTTCCATTTGTAATTTTACCGTCATGTGCTTCAGGAGGTACGGCAGTTTTCGCAGCTCAATTTCATGTTCTTCCTTCCCACTCATGAAGTAGACTAACATCGCTTCATCTGATTGGCCAGACTTCAAATCATCTCGGCCACTCTGCAAAACGGTAGTCAAAGAAAATCAGACGCCTTTTTCTTGACAATTACAAATCTTCTCCTCAACAGAGATTACATCCCTCAATTAATCTGAGCTACATTCTGTACTGAGTTAGTTTTATTTCCTTTTCTTTTGCAAAATTAATGAAGTTATAAAGTCTGTTACAAGCCAATGTGGCCTAAAAGACCAGCCTTTATCTCTGGTTTTACTAGCTTAAAATTTAAGAATATTTCTATTTCCCCTGGATGGGATGCTAGTCGGTTCCAGGTTGCTCCCCAGCTAATGCTACAACCCATTTATGCTCCTACATAGAGAGAAGCATGTGAGGGTGAGATGGCTTGCCCAATGACACGCCCACATGCCAGGAGCTAGACTCAACCCATGAAAATACCTACTGTGACTCTTTACAACTGAATGCTTACCTGCAATTCTTCGTCACTGAGTGTGGAGATGTCAGGGAGAAGTTTCAACACTTCAGAAGCAATGCTTTTGGGTTCATCCAACTCAAAGGTCTGCCAAGACAGGAATGAAATTCTACATAGATACATTCTCGGCAAATATCATCTGCTCCACAAAATGGCCCTCTAGTAGTCATAAATTGGAATAACACCATCAACACTGGGCATTTCTGCTACATATTCCATTGTGTGAATGCATCTGTACAGTAGCAACACCAGCATACCTAATACGATGTATGCTAATTTTTGTGCGCATTCTGCCGAAATTAGTCATATACTGTATGCTACAAAGTGACTCCTATCAAAGGATTCTCAAGAACTGGCAATGCGCTGCCCTCAACAAGTACTGGCATGGTGCCAGGACAGTCGTCTGTTACTATTACTGGTGTTTTAGGGACATACAGAGCAAGAATAAATACATGAAAAAAATTCTGCTAAGCTAGCAATTCAAGCAAGCAAATATGGATAGTTATTGTGAGAGACTAAACTCTGTCATCTTACACGGCTTGATGAAGACAGAGCCTTCTTTCCTGATGGATAGAACTTAATTGTGCTCTCATCAATGTTTAACTTCTTGCACAGTTTGGCTGAAGCAGTACAGTCAACAAAACCAACATTCACAACTTTGTTCTGAAAAGAAAAGAAATATTGCATTTACAAAATGTAAACAACCAATCGAAACCTGACAATATGCTGAAAATTTAAAACAAGGAGGTCATTTCTTAAAATTGTGAATTTGCTGTTTTCTCTGAAAGCAATACTAACTTGCAGGCATGAGCATTTTATGTTATTTAATTTAATTTCAGATCAAGATGTAAGGAAGCTAGAACTTAACAATTTCATCAAGATTACCAAGATGGCGGCCAATTTGGTTCTGTCTTCCAGGTCCAAGCAGCCAGCATGGGCTACATCAGTGGACTCAGCCTCACTTCCTGCAGCAAAGTCAAACATCAAAGACTCAAACTAAAGCAAAACTGAAACTGGACTAAAAAAAAACAGTTTTCTCTCTTTAGCATTCATTTCAAAGCTGATTCTCAACTTCCAGCTCAACAGCAAACAACAGATATACAACACGCACGTTGCCCCACTTTGAAATGCCTAAAGACGCGTTGAACTGAATACGATGTGCATGGAGGTGGGTAAACATCAAAAGATGTTACCACAGCATTCGAAGCGATGTGCGTTCAAAAGGGATAACAATGAGGTTAAACCTGTCTTCAAAGATTTGGTTACAGAGGCCCCCGAGGCCTTGAGGGATAACACTTCATCATGCAACTCAAACTTTGACATAAATAATACTGCAGGGTTGGAAATCTATACGTCCATGCTAGTTGTGATATGAAAGGAACAAAGATTAATATTAATATCAAAAAGTGACAAGTAAATCGACAGACCAACCTTCCGGTGCTCCGCAGTAAGAAATAACCCATGGCTGGTCCTTGTGTTCTTCAGCTAAAAGAGTCTTTTTGAAATTTCCTTGAAAAAGTAGACAGAGAAATTGAAGTTACGCGACAAAAAGATAAAAACAATTTAATTTTAGGAAAGCAAACAAAGCAAGGATTCACAAAAATGTGAATCAAAGTTCTCTTAACATGCCACCTGATATACATTGTAACTTCTATTAGGCTCTTTCTACACTTACAATTATAAAAATTGACATGTCAAAATTAAGGGTCCCTTGAAAAAGGAGCGCAAGACTTTGAGCAATGTTTTTCATTTTTGATCGCATACATGGGACACGAAAAAGGGACATCAGCTGATCTATGGAAAGGTTCCATACCCGTCAAGGTTAAAGACCTATACCATAAATAGAGAAAATAAAACTACAAAGATTTCCATTAGTGTCTCATGTAGACACCTGTCCATCAGTCCTGAGGATAGGCCAAAACAAATTTGGATGGGTGGTTTTTTGCTTGTTCAAACTTAACAAAGCCCAATGTTGGTAAACACATTTCTGATACTGGAGAACAACTCTCCACATCTCCTTCTAAACATACCGGAAATGTGGCCTCAGATAGCACCAGACAGTGTCAGTTTCAAACAATTTCACGAAAAAGGACAGACAGTTTTTAAACTTGGCTGGGAATAAAAATGCTGATAGGTCAATCCTAGTTGGAACCCAAATGTCATTAATCCCTATGTGATTACACATGAGTGTAAGGCTGTGCCGTGTATCCGAATACTTGATCATTTATCAAATATTCAAATATTATTTTCCAAATTTGAATATTCAAATGCAAAATTCATGAAAAGGGAGAAAGAATTTTCTTTTGTTTCAAATGAGAAAAATTGCACTTTGGAGCCTTCTTTCAAGCAGATTCAAATAAAAAGCGACGGAAACCTTACAATGATTTAGAAAGTAAATTACTCATTAAATAATTTAAAAGGAATAGAAATTTTCAACAGGGCAAGAAGTATTGTTCGTCTCTTAAATCTTGCTAAATCATGGCTGGAGATACTCGTAGACATGAGAAGCTATTGTAGTGATTATAAAGTACAATTGTGTGCATTATTGCAACTGATTTTGTATATTGTTTATTTATCAACAATCTGCCAGTCGGTATGACCGAATATTTGGATATTCAATCGAACTGAAGATCAAATATTCGAAAAATAAATTATTAAAATTGACTCAGCCCTTCATGAGTGTTTCAACCCATCCTTACCTGTCCAAATGGAATGGACGTCAGCTTTGACTAGCCATAAGGCATGCTTGATGAGATCTTGGAGTTTACGTTTGCCAGTAAACTCCTCGTTCTGTGAAGAAACAAATATGAAAGCCTATGAGTGGCTGATTCTACAAACAAAATCTGACCTCATGTATATTGCTTGTTGTCTGCTTTGAAAATACCGACATCAGACTGAAGCTTACAAAAAATGGAGTTGTCATGTTTAAGGGCCAAGTCACGTAGCAAAAAAGCCTGAATTATTTACCAACACAGAAACAGTCTTTTAGATTTTTGCTCTGAACACTTCCTCAACTGGATTTTTCCTCGTCTCATGCTTCAGGAGTCAGGATGATGTAGTGGTTCTTTCCTCACCGTCCACCGTCCCACTGGGTTCAATTTCCGACTCGGTCCACATGTGGATTGGGTTTTCAGTCCCTACCTGATTCGGTGGGTTTTACCCAGAATATTCCTCTGGGGTTTTCCTCCCACCTGTAAAACTGTAACTGCTTCTCATTGTCTCCTCTCTACAGGTTTCTTCAGGCTTGCGAGCTAGAGTGCCTGGGGTGCACTCTAGCTTCTTGGTGTCATTAGCAGAAATAAAACAATAATAATTATCCTTTGACCCTGTCAAACCCGTCTCTGCCAAGCATTCCTTTTATGTTAAACATCTTCATCTTTACCTTAAATGTGCATGAACAAGTCAATATCAGTAATTCTTATTACTGTCAATTCCTGCCAAAGTACAAAACCAATGGATTCCTAACCCAGCCAATCCCCAACAAGGAAGTTATGTTGAAATGTCTTCACTGCACATTTCTGCACATTTTCAATTTAAGTACAAATTGAAACTAATGAATACTGACGCTGAACAGAAGACAATAAGAAAGAGGAAACACTATAATAAACAGTGTGACATACCTGTGGATAGACCTTGAGGGTGGGGAAGAATCGCACTCCCTGGGCAGTGCAGAGGGGGTTGTCATCATGACAGTTGACAGCACCGATACGAATCACACCTTCCATTTCCTTGGCAAACTTTCGCCACTGCAAAAAAACCCAAAAAACGAATAACTAAATAAAACTGAACAGAATATAAAATGAATCAAGAACAAAAAAACACAGATGATGTAAAGAAAATACCAGTATCAAGCACCCTAATTACAGATTACAATACGGGCCATTCATGATACAGTGTGCCACCAAGAGGTTGCGACAGAGAGGCCAATTTTTAAGTCTGCAGTCAAAAACATGACCAACTCCCCGAAATCTGCATTGGAGTGAATGGCAGTGGACAAAGGTTTGGATTAATTTAAAGGGCCAAAGTAGGACTCACGATAGGGGCCAGGTCATGGCAATGATGGCACCGCGGAGAGTAGAAGTTGACAAACCAGATGTCTTCACCAAACACCGACTGCTCTATGGGTCAGAGGTCAACAGACGGGCAAAGGGTTACATCTCAGTCAACGACACCAAAAGAGACATACGCAATCTAGTCAGCCCAAAATGCAAGTTCAATGTCATCCTCTGCATCTTCTCTGATTGCTCACATGATGACAATAACACTAATTAATTTAAATAAGGAAGTGGTGATATTTGTGTGCTACATTGACTTCTATTTAAACTCCAGGTTCTGTCCGTCTTGGACAGCAGATGTGGGTGATTGACCAGACACTCAGCACCATCGTCCCCTCATCACCTGGAGGGTAGAGGACCTTTGAGGATACCGGCAGGGCCTTGGCCCTGAGACTGCTGGGAAATGGCGGGCCTTGTAGGACCTTTTTCAAGAGTAGGTGCTGTGTGTGTCTGGGGGATCCCCCCCACGCCTGACCTCCTTCCCTCTGATGTACTGTTGCAGTGAAACAGCTTTCTTAAGCTCTTAGGTGGTTCACATTCTACTAACACAGGTTACTGTTCATATTCAACTTAGCGCATTATTCTTTTTAATTTTCATGTATCTTTGTCTGCTTGGTATTTATTGTCAACTGCCCTGAGGTTAATTTAACGGAAGGCGTTTGCTAAATCCCATTTATTATTATTACAGGAAATTGCCGAGTTGTGTGAAGTGTGAACAGTTTGTTTTCTACACAGCTTGGTCCTCTTAACTACACAACACTTTCCCATGTAAAGCAATAATAACCCAGCCCTGTGGCAAAGTGCTATGACCTCAACACAATTGAATGCCCACACCTGTCTGACCTGAAATGTACAAAAACTCACCAAAATCTGTCTTGCTGAGGGTGACAACTTCTGGGTCTTCGTCATACAGGCCTGAACAATGTCAGAGACAAACAAATGTACAAATATCAACAATACATACGCTATATCTGGTATAGCAAGAGAATATATGAAATACGACAATGAGGTGAACATGTTTCATAAATGCAAATCCTCCTTACACGTGTCCCAATCACCTACATGAATATACCCAAAAGCTGAGGTACTGGTTAAGTCTTAAAGCACTGTCATTGGACAGTTTGTGTAACGTATATAAATGTGTCATAGTACAGGATTGGTCAGAACAGTCTGGCACGATTTGCTTGTTTTACATAGCTCTCAGGTCTTCTGTCATAGGAAGCTGTGACGGAATGTTTTGGCTGAGGCTGGGAATCAGTGTAAGCCAATAGCTTGTGGCTGCGACTGCTTCTCATAGACAAATACGTACATACATGTATATCAATAATGGCCAAGACATGGGTGCACAGCCTCGGATAAGAGTAGGTCTTCCACAGTACACATGCATGTGTTGTTCTTCAACTATAAGACTCTGTGATCACTATTATACACATATGGTTTGACAATAGATAGTCCGTAATAGCTCCTAGAGATATTGCAAGTTGAAAAACTAGTTCTCTAGGTGAAAAGACAACTAATGTGTCAACTTCCAGAGGACTTCATATCTAGGAAACCATATTACATGTCTTAATTTCACCACACCCCAACCATATGGTACCACTGAGTGGAGAGAATTGTTTATCATCATTCAAGTGTCCTGTCATCTTTTAGTGCCTAGGCTAAGGTGATACTCACATTTGCTAACTACATTATATCCACCTGTGACAGTGGACAATTGCCTAATGAAGCACTAGCATTCAACAAATGCACCTAGGAAACAGCCAAAATAATAGCAAGACGGAGGATTGACGGACGAGATATTCAGCTCTAGATCATGAACATGTAGGCCTGTAAGTTATGGTGATAGCTTATAAAGGATTGGCTGAGACTTGCAAAGCACATGCAATACGGCCTTTTCACAAGAGTGCGCCACCAAGAGTTTGCAACGCATTGGCCAATCATAATGCACGAAATTTGTCGACCCAATGCGCGTTTGAAAAGGGTCGACAAATTTTGCGCGTTATGATTGGCCAATGCCTTGCAAACTCTTGGTGGCGCACTATTGTGAATCGCCCGTATTATTCCTCCACTTAATCTGTCGTAAGTTAGCCTTACCAAATTCTGTCTTGTAGTACTGCCAGCTCTCGTATCGATTCCATCTTCCCTGCCCTTGCTGGTCTTTTAGACCCTCTTCGCCGAACCGGTCGTACTTCTTGCGAAGGTCGTCATCTTTCAGTACCTCATATGCCCTGTTGATCTCTACAAACTTATCATGTGCCTTTGGGTCATCCTGTGCATAAAAGATGGCAAGCAAAGAAGAACACTTTATTCAATACTTTATTTCATAGGTGTATCTACATACATTCTACGTGTGTAGCAACAGATGAGACCATGAACAACTGAAGGTTGTTGTAAAGATAAATAGAAGTGTTTTAAAATACTTAACATTGGAATAATTTCACAACAGATGTGATACATAAAGCCCCAGTGCAGGTTTATTCTTGGTCCCAAAACTTAATATTTAGTAGTGTAGTTGGCAAAATTTTTTTGTGTTTAACATTTCTTCAATTTTAAATACACATAAACACCAACTCTCTGGTACAATATTTCTCAATGTACAATGTACATGTACCTTCTGCCAGCGTTCTAGCAAGGATGAAATTAAAGGATAGGGGCATCTACCCAACGTGCCAGATATAGCGGGGGGGGTAAACAGCTTTGTTTTAAGCTCCCATTACACCATTCAGTGTCATTCAGTCATTGTAAAAAGCAAAATGATCAGTTTGAAACTGACTTCTACCCTTTCCTCTACTTTTTTTGGGGGAGGGGGACTTTGCTTTGTGTTTTGTTGGGCTTCTACTTAGGAAACGGGCAAAGGTCTAATAAACTATGGGATATCTGATCCACATTTCATTACTGCACAATTGTTTTTTACATGTGCTTATTCTTGTTTGAGGAGCTCCATGGTACAACATTGTTTTGATGTGCATCAATGAAATATAACTAGCTTAATAGGCCTACACCTCATTTTGATTTTGAAAAACGTCAATCTGGATAGTTTCTAGGGGTTTTAAGTCAACATGTATGATTATTCTTAACTTAATTCACCTAGGCCCCTACCATTGATTGCACCTTCTTGCAAGGTTCGAAAACTTTTGTCGAAGAATATAAGTCACATGATCATTCCAAACTTATTCTCATTATCACAAAGTTAGATGTTTGTGCCGAAAATAATAAAAAGTTTGGTCATAAATAACGAACACACACGACCAAAGATAAGTGAGAATGATCAACGATACCGAAATTACAAAGGAAAATGCTCTGTTCAAGCACCTTCCTCCATGGTTCAAGATAAGAAAACACAAGACTGTGCATGGATATTGCCAGGTGGCTGATATCTGCTTTCATATCCTGTTTATAAAGTAGGAATTTCTTTTAATCAAAAAAGGTTTTAAATTAAGCACTTTCTAGGATGTTTGTGAGTCCATGAGAGGCAGTTATCATGAACATCTAAGATATAAAATATCAGGAGTATACACAACCTCTGAGTAAGTTACAATTATTGGCTTTCACAAATGAGTTGTAAACTCCACTGCAGATTGCACATGTGAGGATTTTTTTCAACAGTATTGATTGAAATTAAAAGTTAATTGATATTTTTAAACTGAAACAGTCAACAAAGGACCCAGCTGTCTGTATACACGGAAACGACAGATGACATGAGATGACACAGCAGACAAAGTGCATTTCAATTGATTTGGTAATATTCCCAAAAAACACTTCAGGTAATACATGGGCTTTTTAAATTATGTAAAGCAAATTAAGTACTTAAGAAATATTACAGTTATGGGCATCACATAAAGTGCACTCGAACAAACAAGTCTTGCTCAACATCTTTTTTAGCAATTTCTTTCGATATGTTAATATTTTACATTTTTATAATCTTCCGTTTGGAAATTGGCATCCGGGACAAACATGGACATCATGTGGGTGATGCAGGTGACAGTTTTTAATGATACCCGTAGGCTTACTATCTTACAGTAGGTACATGTATGTGTCATTTTCTTGGGTTGGGGTACGTACATGTACATGTATAGGCAATATACCGGTACATGTACATGTAGCTGTAGACGTTATGCTTGGACTCATTATTTCAACTTTGCTGTGAAGACGATACACCGCAGCCACAACACACTTCAAATGTAAACTACATGTAAGACAAATGTGTACCTTTGGGTATGGTTCCCAATTTTCCTAAAAGGCCAGTTCATACATGTACATGTGCTTCAGGCAAATGCAAAAGCAAAGCAAATTGACATAAAAAACATTTGTGGCAAAATTTGCTCAAGTTGAAATGTGTTCAACTCAAGCTTCGTCACAGCACGAATATTTGATTTGACGTGAGAATTTTTTGTGCGTGTTTGCTTTCGTGGTCTTGCGCCAATAATTTGTGTGCAGCCCAAAGAAGCTACATGTGCAATTGTGAGTGCATAATGGATCAATAAACGGCTGTGAGACCCATTACAATTTCAACCGAAGCGTGACTCTGATTAAAGTAACATAATTTCGATGACTTGAGGGTGAAGGATCTTTTGCAAGGTAAAAGAAAATACCAAACACAATGGTTCCCTTTGAGACGGTTTACATCGAGAGCTGACAGACTACATGATAGGGCAATGAAGACAAGTGCTTAAAAATCACAGTGATACTTCAAATACACCGCACAAAGGTAGCACTTTGCCACAGACTGCTACGGTTGAGTATTTCCTGGGAGTCTTCATTCTTCCTGTGGGGACTATTTTTGTTAACTGGAGTCAAGAATTGGTGTGTCAATGCAGCATACCTTGCTGCACACCGATTCCATTTATTACCAATGCATTCAGTTACCAATCATCTGTGTCAACAGGCCCTATGGATGCTGGATCACATTTGAGACAAACCTGGTTCTTATCGGGATGCATCTTGAGAGCTAGTTTCTTGAAGGCTCGACGAATGTCCTTGGTGCTTGCATCTCGCTCAATTCCAAGCAACTCATAGTAGTCTTGTGAGGCCGAGGTGACGGTCAACATCAGGCTCAGGAGAGCCACAGCAATAAGGAAGTTCCTGAACCATAACGTCTGAACTCTACTCATCTGTGTACGGAGGCAAGTTTCTAAGTGCTTTGGAAACAATCCCACAATCCCTGTGCCCATTTTCAAGATTTATGCTGAACTGTGAAGAACTAGGAATTCTGTTGATGCTCAGGGGACTGACTTTGTCAGCAACGTTGGTAGTGCATTGTATTTTCCTTCAAGGTTACCTTGATGATGTGAATGACCTGCAGGGAAACCACATGCACACAGTTTTATCAAGATTTTTCTTCTACAAAAGTAACATGTACATTTAAACATACAAGTACATATAAACAAACTCTGGGCAAAGAATTCCTCATGCTGCTGTACAATTTCCCATCATGAGAAACCTCAGAGAAGGCCACTTACTAGAAAATATATACATGTACGCTGGAGGGGAAAAGGACTCGTCTCTGGATTAAAATTGGTTTAAGGAAATGAGTCACTAAAGACTTTGAATTCCTTTAATTAAGAATATCATTTCAATTCTTTTTAATAACTTGAAACTGAACCTATCAGGTGGCATAGTTAAACAAAGCAATGGATATGCAATATAGATTATGCAACATGACAAATTTCACCAGAAGAAAGCATAAGGAAGCCCTCATTTTGCGAAAATATTGAGATGCATGGGTAAACAGACCTGCATACTGAGTATGAGTCCGAATGAAATTGAAATTTGAGTCCATTACATGTTTGTTCCCAATCACTAACTTTTTGAGCACACGTGCTCATGATAGCCCAAAGCATGGAGTCTACTCAAATAAAGGGCCACAGACAGGGCTGGGATTATAACTTTAAATTAGCCTATTAGGATCGCAAACATTTGGAACCCAGAGCAAAATTTGCACAAGTCTAAAAGATTATCAATTTCGGATTGTATGCTTTTGCGCAAACTGCAACTAGTGCACGTAAACATATACTGGCTAACACAATTTTGTGCACTCTGAGAATTGTTGGGCAAATTTAAACTTGTCCGTTTGTGTTGGGAATTTGCGCTAAACTAGTTATTGTTGATGTACCTCAATGTGGTATTTGAATGGGAGGAGGCGTCGAAAAGTTTGTCTTGCATGTGTCGAGCGAAAACAGCCGGATTTTGAAAGATTTTGAAATCAGAAATACCACTAATGCCCCAAAACTTTTCTTTTGTCATTTAAGAAAGCCAGTATGCAGTGAAAAGGGTATTTTTGGTGAGTCTTTGGAATTTTTGAGAACCGTTTTCACTTTACTGTGTGTGGAGCGTTAGTACGTACAACCACTCCAAAATTACACTCCATCCATCAATTGATTCAAGATTTCAAGATTTATTTCATTTTCTACAGCATAATAATCACACACGATAATAAAACTTTTAATAAATATTTACAGGTAAATATGATAGAATGATACTTCAATAGTCACTTTAGAAAGGATGCTGTAGAGGGGTACCCAATGAAAGCAATGCTTGTAGATTTGGGCCCTGTTTGTAACATTCCTTATTAAATTACAAACACACCCACACAAAAAACACACAAAGACAGACAAAACAAGTAAACATGTAGTTGCAAGTTTGTGTAGCCTGAAACCAGCATGGTATGTTAAATTAAGATATAAGTGTTAATTGCCAAAAACACAGAAATACGTGTACGTACGAATTACGAATATGTATTTAACAAGTTGGAAAATCAAAGACTTTTCTGAGGGAGACATCCAGAATAAATTAAATTAAACACAATGCAACAGACTTCTCAACAATCCAAGAGGCATATATGTAGAGTGTTAATTATACTTGATAAAAATAATACTTACGGTTAAATTTCAGTTATGAAACTTTCACTCCGATCCGCCGGCACGTCGTACACCTGATCGATCCACATGCCCACTTGCTATCTTCGCTGATCACGGATGGGTTACCATTCGAAAACGCGCTATACAGCTGGATACCAGCGACTTCAAAGCTTTAAACATGACGTGTCCCGATTGTATTAATGTACAATCCATGATGATGTAGTGTGTGCGTTATCGGAGTGCCTTTTGACAAGAGAGGGCAGCCTTGTTTGTACCATTCCGCTCCATCCACCCCTAGCTCTGCAGGCCCGCAAAACATAAGGCCATGTCCAAATTACTTGGCTGCGGCTTGAAATTATAAACAAAATCTAAGGGAAGTGGCAGTCACAATCACAGGCTCGTACGCGACAATTTTTTTTGAAAATGTACAATGGATTTCTGCTGATGAGTCATGTGTTCTTGGAAAAATGTCTTCACTCGTTCGTGCCAAGGGCACTTGGGCATTCTTGTTTGTTCAGGGAATGGATCCGCTCTTTCAAGTCTTTGTCACTAAGATACTCCCCTAAAAGACGCTTAATGGTGCCCAATCTCGACCATGACTTTAAAATAGGTCAAATTTAGTGAAAAAGCTCAGGGAATACATTTGTTACATTATATTATGACTACACGGTGCACATAAATTGCCGCTCGGGGATACCTAAAACCCTCTTAAATTAATAAAAGCTCATTTTACACATCTTTTCCAGGATTTATTTTGTGAAGAGGTCCTATCAAGTGCGCATTCAGTTCTTATAGGAAGGAAACGTCATATTTTATTAAGTTCGGTATTCTGTTTCATTTCTAAATTGAAAGTTAAAAATCTTTCTGAAGTAGGACTAAATGGACATTCAAAGTCATGTCGGCCTATTATTTGTGAAAAAGACTAAAGTTAATGCAGATAGTCTGAGCATCATCCAGTCGGGGAAGCCGCGCAGCTAGCTAGCCCCATAAACGTCTGTACATCTCTCTAGAATTTAAATAGAGGCGGGTGTCGGCCCAAAAAAATTAAATACAAAATCCCCATTTCAAAAGTGGTAAAGTACGTTGACATAAAAAAGCATGTTTAGAATTTCAAGAACTTTGAACAAACAATCACATTGATCGGGCTGTCATGAAAATTCTATTTTTAAAACAACCGTGCAAAAAAGTTCGGATAACGGTTACCCCAATTCACCGATAAAAGAAAAAATTGAATCTTACACCGTTAAAATCAGATATTTAGTATGATGTTTGCTGATCATTAGATTTGCTCTGATATAGTTATTAGTCAAACATGCTGGCATAACAAAATTTCAAACAACCTTTTTAATTAAAGAGCATCATCGAGCGCTGTGTACGGTCTGGGCAACCTGTCATGTATGATTACATAAGCCACATTTTTTGCGGGGAACCGAAGTCCGGGCCGGCCCTTTGACACGCCAACTAACTGTGTGGTCTGAGCTGTCAGGAAAAAATGACTGAATTGTACGAGAAACTCTCGTTTTGTACGGACTTAAATAGGTTAATATCGAAACTTGTCCTCTTAATGAACCTTACACGTATGGTTCGTTGGCCTCTGTTTCACCATGGTTTCACCCCGTCAAAAGTACTCGTCGCACACTCAGCCTTGGCCGGCACATGAACAGCATGACGTCACCATAGGGGGCAATTCGCCGCTGGTAACCCATCTTAATCTTCCGTGCATCGAAACTTGAAGGTGAACCTGGTAACCATTCGAAATATTGGCACCACGCGCTGTCAAGCGCTCATTTGGCAAATTCTCAGAAACAGGATCTTTGCGGTTTCTGTGATGTTGAATTATAAACGCACGGCAAGTGCGCATAACATTGTGCAAATTCTAGTTTTGTTTACTATCGATTGTTGGGTAATTTTCTTGGTATTCTAATGAAATCATAACCTGCAAAACAATGATAGTTGATGATGTGAATTCGGTCGATGATGTTAATTGTAAACTTGACTCAAAATCAACATATTCTGGTTTTAGATATCTTTAAATAAGTATCATTTTCGCAAATGCCACAGAATTAAAAAAGAAATTAATTCAGAAAGAAAGGTTCACGTGAACTGCGGTCTGTAGTAGTAATAAGGTTTGCAAGGATTATTGTCCCGACTGCCAGTGACCACTGAGGTCACAGGCCTGCAAAATTTGATAGAATACGCAATGAGAAAAATTCTAAATCTGACAACGAGTTTTGTGTGTAGAAGGCTGCTTTGTTGCACAACTTAACGTATGATAAGGTTTGTTTCCTGGCTCTATGATTCAACCGAAGTGGACATAGTATAAAACAATTGCACAGCAAAAATGACCATCCGTTAAATTTACAGTGAGATATGCAAATACACGAGGTCAGACTCTTACAAGATTACTCCGCTACCAACTAGTAATATCTCCAATCGCCAAAAAATTCTCAAAATTACAACTAATGTAGATATTATGAAAATTCAAATAAGAATTCAACATAAAAAACATTAAATTTTCGTTGTTTTGTCAAGATACTCAGTTTCTTTTGGGAACTACTTCGTTCAGGTGGATGTGGTGGCTGCACTGGTTTATAGATTGTACAGCAATGAATGGAGGATGTAGCGGTAAATCGTTTGCTCCATGCCAAAGCGTGTGCGTTGTGTGTATGCACCGTAGGCCAGACCGACCCATACCATTTGCAGGTAGTGCATGCACACTTAGGCGTTACATGTACGTGAACAGGAGGCCAGCAACTAGACAACCGCTGCACATTGCATGTACGACTTACAAGTGCTTCTGCCCTCAAATTGACCTCGTGTGTTTTCGTATCGATTTTCGTCGTTTATTTACGTCGTTTCAAGCGCAAGTTGATCACGCATTGTCACACTTTCTGGTGACTCTGAGATCAAGAGAAGACATTTCAGCCCCACCTGGACAAGACTATTGTCATTCACGCGGGTTTCCTTTCCATTGAATCAGGCAAAAAGGTAAGATTCCCAACCCGTCGAATTTGGCGACATTCAGGACCATCGCAATGCAATTTTGCGTGAAGCATGCATGTCCAAAGCTTGTTCTGAACAGCTGACACCGTAAGCAGTCACTATTTAGTGAGCATGGTGAGGCCGGGAGCATTCCATGTACTTGTTGGGAAAAAAGTAGTAGCCTTGGCCTACCTACAATTGTGTTCCGCACTGCCAATGCGACTGTTTACAGTGGTTTGAAGTTTTAGAGTGCGAGTTTCTACAAGCCACTACAGCTACAGTAGGCGCTTGGCCTACTTGTCCCTGCTTCAGTTTTTGTGTCTTGAAAAGTTTCTGCCATGTCTGCTGACAGTGCTGTCTAATGTTAAACCCTTTAACTTGAAATTAGGTCTCTTCTTTCACGTCTTTCGGACAGAGAAAGGTTCAAAGCTTGGAAAGGATGCTCGTAAGATAAATTCCTCAATTCATATGTACCAGCTGGGTTGCTCTGCTTTGATGTGAAGTTGGCCTTCTCCAGCAAGGGATTCTATTCTTGAATTGTGCATGGTCCTTACTAACCATGTTAGGCCAGCCATGGCTATTATTAAAGTAGGTCAGGGACCAAACCACAATCTAGCGACGTCGCTAGTTTCTGCTAATGTCGCTTGTTCAAGCAGCGATGATGGCATTTTTATCAGGTCACATGATAATAATAAGGTTTTGGGAACATAACGAGACAACCATGATGGCAGCCAGGGTCCCCTGATAACGACTTTATACATTTTTGGAGAGCTTGACATTCAATATGGTGTGTACTGAGAAGTTTAATATCCCCCCAAAATGAATTTTGGTACCTTTTGCCGTTTCCTTGTCCTTAAATTTCAAGACAAATTTGGGAGAGATGTTGCTTAAATTCTGCCACACTTCCACTGTATGTCACTAAAGATCATGGGTTATGTGCCACTGAGCAGGCGTCAACTTTCCTGAAGTATGTCGACAGCTGTTACAAATTGAAGTGGTCGTGATCATTGTAGTTTTATTTGGATATTGATATTACATGTAATTTGTAAACTGTGCAGTGCACTCGCTGAATGTAAAAGTGTCATTTTGTCATACAGCAAAAACTCTGAAGGCGTCCAAACACTATTAAAATCCTAGCCCACTAGGGCCTTTTTACTACGGCACATCCTCAATCCTCCAATTGCCCAACTTCAAAACTGCATTCATTCTCAATATTCCAAATTCTCAATTTTTTTGGCTTATGCGCAAAACGAAAGGTACCTTAATTCTAACCTTCCCCAACCACACAGAATTAAACAGTAAAGTGTTTAATTCGGTGGGGATAGGTCTGGTAGGCCCATAACAGCTGGCTTTTGCATTGGGTTTGGCATACCTCAGAAAACACAGTCCAACAGCCTCTGTGCACAAAGTCCCATAGAGGGATCCCAATACAACGCTTTTAGTGTCGATCTGCGCACTTCCGACTCTCCACACATAAGCGTATGGTGTCGTGTGGCTCACTATACGAAGGTAGTCCAGTATATGAGCCACATTATGGGGCTACCCACTGATACAAATGAAACACCACCAGTGCAAGATTCTACGCTTGGGTGGTTCCACCGTTTATGGAACCGGTTCCTGTTCCGCACAAATGCCCGGGTCTGACTCATACATGTACCCGGTTCCGGGTAATTCAAAGAAAAACGTATCAAAGATAAGGTCCAAGGTTTTTCTATGTCTGCCATTATTGTGTCCTTGTAAAATCATTGAATTTGCGAAGTTGGCAATAAAATGTATTGTCTGTGTCTATTTGCATGAGCTTCTTGAAACTTATCTGACTCAAGGAGGAATAAGAGCTCATGTCGGACTTTAGGAGTTAAAATTTGTGCCGGCTCTCGGTCATCGGACATGACCTGCTGAGGCAGAGCCGTGAAGAACACCGTATACCTGTGCAGTACATGTACTGTACTCGTACGTAATGTACGTTGTACATGTACACCGTACACCCACGTGTATCATGTACATGTACATATCGATAGTGCCATTATGCAGCCAGCGCAGCCACGTAGCCCGGCCCATCGACCACCAATACAAAGCTTGTGGCTTGCCACTCTAGACTTGCCTTGACACGTTATATCTCTTCATATTTCGCTGTGGTCCAGATCCGCATGCCGCAGCTCCATGTAGAGCTGCAAATCCCCAATCGGAGCATCGTTTTCCTTCTACAAGTAAGAGACTTGTAATAAAGTCTGCGGCCCACAAGCTGTGTGCGTATTTACCGCTGTTCGATTTCACCAAATAAACACACCCCCACCCTCCATATAAGGCAAGCCAATGAAGCAGTGAATCCCCGGATGGAGTTCATGTGGTATCGTCATTGGCTGATTATTTTAGTCCTCTTGATTGACGCGGCACACCTTGTTTACAACTATCCATGTTGGGGCCACCAAAAATAACAAGCTCAAGGCGGTGGGATCGGGGGGCTGCCGATCGGCACTTACTTGACAAGGCAATTATGTTTTACGAAAAACTTAGGGGATTCTATTCAACACAAAAACACAAAACACAGTTCTCTTTTTTTCACCAGTGAAAACATACTGGTAATTTGAAGCCTCGTACAAGTAGTTCTTCGCTTCGTTACTCGGTA